CCTTATACAAAAGTTATCTCCGGATAGATTAAAGATGTAAACATAAGATGTAACACCATAAAAACCCTAGAAGAAAACCTAGGCAATACCATTCAGGACACAGGCATGGACTAGGGCAAGGACTTTATGACTAAAACACCATAAGCCAAAGTAGACAAATTGTATCTAATTGAACTAAAGACCTTCTGCGCAGCAAAAGAAACTACCAATAGAGTGAACCAGCAACCAACAGAATGGAAAAAATTTTTGCAATCTACCCATCAGACAAAGGGCTAATATCCAGAATCTACAAAGAACTTAAACAAATTTACAAAAAAAAAAAAAAAAACCCAAACAACTCCATCAAAAAGTGGGCGAATGACATGAACAGATGCTTCTCAAAAGAAGACATTTATGCAGCCAACAAACATATGATAAAAAGCTCATCATCATTGGTCATTAGAGAAATGCAAATCAAAACCACATTGAGATACCATCTCATGCCAGTTAGAATGGCAATCATTAAAAAAATCAGGAGACAACAGGTGCTGGAAAGGATGTGTAGAAATAGGAACACTTACTTGTTATTGGGAGTGTAAACAAGTCAACCATTGTGGAAGACAGTGTGACAATTCCTCAAAGATCTAGAAATAGAAATACCATTTGCTCCAGCAATCCCATTACTGGGTATATACCCAAAGGATTAGAAATCATTCTTTTATAAAGACACATGCACACGCATGTTTATTTTGGCACTGTTCACAATAGCAAAGACTTGGAACCAACCCAAATGCCCATCAAAGATAGACTGGATAAAGAAAATGTGGCACATATACACCATGGAATACTAAGCAGCCATAAAAAAGAATGAGTTCACATCCTTTGCAGGGACATGGATAAAACTGGAAACCATCATTCTCAGCAAACTGACACAAGAACAGAAAACCAAACACTGCATGTTCTCACTCGTAAGTGGATGTTGAACACTGAGAACACATGCACACAGGGAGGGGAACATCACACACTGGGGACTGTGGCAGAGTGCGGAGCTAGGGGAGGGATAGCAGGGGATGGGGGGAATGGGGAGGGATAGCATTAGGAGAAATACCTAATGTAGATGATGGGGTAATGGATGCAGCAAACCACCATGGCATGTGTATACCTATGTAACAAACCTGCATGTTCTGCACATATACCCCAGAACTTAAAGCATAAGTAAATTTAAAAAAGAAAACTTTTATCTATTTATAAGAAAAAAGAAGATTCAAATAAGTGCAATTAGAAATGACAAGGGGGATATTACCTGTGACCCCACAGAAATATAAACAAGCATCAGAGAATATTATGAACACCTCTGTGATTTATAAACTAGAAAATATAGAAGAAATATATAAATTTCTGGATAAATATACCATCCCAAGACTGAAGCAGAAAAAAATTGTTTATCTGAACAAACCCATAACAAACTTTGATTTTGAATCAGTAATAAATAGCCTACCAACCCAAAAAAGCCCAGGACCCAGTGCATTCACAGCCAAATTCTACCAGATGTATGAAGAAGAGCTGCTACCATTCCTACTGAATTAGTCCAAAAAACTGAAGAGAAAGGACTCCTCCCCAGCTCATTATGTGAGGTTAGCATCATCCTGATACCAAAACCTGGCAGGGCAGAAATACAACAACAAAAGAAAAGTTCAGGTCAATATCTTTGATGAATATCAATGCAAGAATTCTCAGAAAGTATACTGGCAAACTGAATCCAGCAGCACATCAAAAAGCTAATTCACCGTGATCAAGTAGGTTTCATCTCCAGGATGCAAGTGTGTTCAACAAATCAATAAATGTGATTCATCACATAAACAGAACTAAATACAAAAACGACATGATTATCTCAATAGATGCCTAAAATTCAACACTCCATCATGTTAAAAACTCTCAATAAACTACGTATTAAAGGAACATACCTCAAAATAATAAGAGCCATATATGACAAGCCAACAGCGAGTATCATACTGAATAGGCAAAAGCTAGAAGCATTCCCCTTGAAAACTACCACCAGACAAGGATGCCCACTCTTACCACTTCTATTCAACGTAGTATGGGAAGTCCTAGCCAGAGCACACAAGCAAGAGAAAGAGATAATGGTCATTTAAATAGGAATAGATGCAATCAAACTACCTCTGTTTGCAGACAACATGATTTTATATCTAGAAAATCCCATAGTTTTGGTCAAAAAGCTCCTTGAGCTGATAAACAACTTCAGCATAGTTTCAGGACATACAATCATTGTATAAAAATTACTAGCATTCCTATACATCAACAATAGCTAAACTGAGAGCCAAATCAGGAAGGCAATACCACTCATGATTGCCACAAAAAGAATAAAATACCTAGGAATACAGCTAACCAGGGAGATGAAACCTCTCGAAAATGAGAATTACAAAACACTGCTCAAAAAAATCAGAAAAGACACATGGAAAACATCCCATGCTCATGGATAGGAAAAATCCCTATTATTAAAATGGCCATACTGCCCAAAGCAAATTAAAGATTCAGTGCTATTCCTATCAAACTATCAATGACATTCTTCACAGAACCAGAAAAAAAAAACTGTTTTAAAATTCATATGGAACCAAAGATGAGCCCAAATAGCCAAGATAATCCTAAGCAAAAAGAACAAAGCTGGATGCATCACATTACCCAACTTCAAACTATGCTACAGGGCTACAGTAACCAAAACAGCTTGGTACTGGCACAAAAAAAGACACACAGACCAATGGAACAGAATAGAGAGTACAGAAATAAGATCACACACATACAAGCATCTGATCTTTGACAGAAACTTCTTGTGTTATCTGAAAGGGCAGTCACCTGCTTGCATGATGTGTGAGAAGAACAGCTTAACTGTGGAATCCAGATTGGATTGGAGAAGAAAGTAGTTGAACTGGGAACTGGCCATGTGCTGCCACCGTCCTCGGGAAAGAGGGTAGCATCTGACTTTGGGTGAGGGAAGAGACAAGAAACGACTAAACAGATGATTTCAAGTCGCTTTGATGTGGTGAAACTGAGTAATGAAGATAGAGGGGGATGAAGGCAACCATGCAGTTCTCATCCTCACAAGACTAGTCTCCTAAAGGGGCATCCAGCAGCTGTTTAGTAGAAGAAACACTAGCCAGGCATCTGATACATGACTCCTCTCCTGGCGGCTGGAACTTAAGAAAAATCAGTTTACTTCAACCTTAGCTTATTTATCTTAAGAAGAGGCTGTTCCAGCCTTAAATGGTCTATGATTTACAATAGTACTTTGGTGAGAAATGTATGTGTTGGGTAACATAAATTAATGATATACTAAATTATACCATTGATGGCAATAAGGACTGAGATTTGTACACTTTACACTTCGCAGAGTTATTTTGCATGTATTATTTAATTTGATCTTAACCCAAACCACTGAAATAAATATAAATATTTCATCCATATTTTACAAATGAGGAAACAGAGACTTCGAGCCATATCCTAAGGCTGCAGGGAAGTAAGTGGCAGAGCCAAGACTCAAACCTTCCAAAATCTTGGCTTTCTCTAATAGGTGGGAACTTAAAGGTCTCACTTATTTATCATCAGCTGTGAATTCTTGCTGCGTGGAGGATTGCATTAGTCTTTATCATTATACTATTATGATTGTCTCAGGTCACTTCTTTATTCTTTTATGCACTTGTTCATCATACATTTACTGATCAACTATTACGTGGTATGCATTGGGAATACAGCAATGAATAAAGCACAGTCCCTACCCAGAAGGACACAGTCTACTGAAGGAAGCTGCAATTGGAAAGTATTTACAATATAGTATGCTAAGCATCCCATCTCTGAAGCATTAATGAAGAAATGCTGTGAAATGGTTTATGTCTAGCTCTATTTTAGAGACTCATATACTCTATTTTAGATTATATGGTTTGTATCTAGCTTTATTTTATTTGGAGATGGCACCATCTCATTCCATTCACAGATTAAACCTTTGACAAGTGGTTCAAGACCCCTCTCGTTGGTCAAGGCTCCTCTGACTTCAGGCTACCATACCCTGTTGTTTTTAGAACCCGAACACACTCTCTCTTCTGTCACCATCTATGGTATATTTATTTTGTTTGTTCATTGTTTACTATATGCTTTCAGTACTTCTGTAGAGAACATTGTGGTAGACACACAGTAGCTTCATCAGATGAGTACCATAGGTAATATTTATTATTAATTCGTATCACTAGACCTGAACATGGTAGGCAATCAATAAACATTTGTTTAATTGACTGAGGTCCCCAGATTAAGAATCCACATGGCTGAGAGGTATCAAAATGAATCTCCTAAAAGTACTTGCATTAAACCAAGAAGGTGAATTCAAGAGCAGCTACAATGCTCCCCTAGAGTATTTCAATTTGATACGTTTAATTCACAAGCCCACCCTTGATCCCCTTCTATCCATAATGTCAAGTGATGCAACAACCACATTCAGATTGTGCAAGCTCCCTGTTGTTGGGGAGGAAGGAACACTTTGACTGTTTAATGTCATTTTGTGAAAAAGATCTTGATCCAGCAGGGAAGATGTTAAGAACCAATAAAAAAAATTTATTGTTGGTATTTTTACCCGCATCCTGTTTCTGGCTGTGCTGCTGCCTTCTGAAGGGCCTTGGCACATATGCTGCTTCTAAGTGCCAGTTTTCCCATCTGTAAAATAATCCCTGTCCTTGATCCTCAACTCACAGGGGTGTTTGGAAGCCTAGGGAGGTGATGTCTGTGCTGTGCGTGCAGGTTCCTGGACAAAAGACATTGTATAAATAAAGGAACTCACTCCTATTTATAGCGTACACAGCAGTTCAGAAGGATTTAATGACCTGTCCCCTCTCCTTGTGTCTTTTCACCCAAAAGTCTCACCTCTGGTTGTGCCCAGAAGTACAACCGTTCTGATCTATCTGTAGTGAGATTAATTGAACAGGACTCTTTGAAATCCCAACTAGTTTACCCAGCCTGCCTGTCTTTAAGGGCTCTTGCAAGCTCTTCTCTTTATTGAGAAAGGGAAAAAAGACATCAGTTGGAATGGCAACTCATTGGTTCCTTTATCAGGTTAGCCTTTTCCTGAAGGGTCTCCTTGCCCCTCAAGGCATCTCCTCATCTGAAACTCACTTCACACTGTGATGGCTGGATGCAGGGATGCTCTTGTTCTGTTTCCTTGGCAACGACTTCTGTTTGTTGATAACAAAGTTTACTGTGTGTTTGTCATTATTTTTCCCTCTGCCTTATAGTACAAGAGGGGTGAATAAACTCTGTGGATTTGGCGAAACAAAGGGGGCCATCTGGTGGGTGACAGGAAGAGAGAAGAGGAAGAACAGAAAACCTGTAGAAAGGCCTCTGCTGGGTCTTTGGGGGCTACAGAGTAGTTATGCATTTAACAGAAGCTATTAAAACCAGGAAGCACTTTATCTAGAATAACTTAAAGGCAAGTAAATAAAGACTTTGACATGACAGACCAATTCCTATGAAAATCCTAACAGGGGACTCCAGAGAAGTACTGAAAATCTCTCCAGGGATTTCAACTGTACAACCAACCACATTTCCTATGTTTTCCTCATCCTCAATGAACTTAGATGTCATGGATCCACAGCATTTACTAAGGGACTACTCAGAGCAAGGCCCTATGATTAACAGTACAATTTGGCAAAAACCTTCCTTAGGGTCCACAGATCACATGCATCCTTAAAGCACAAGTATATTCAAATGGTTTTACTTAACATTAGCATAGTATATATCCTTATTTTTGTTTTTCTTAATTTGGAAGACTTGGCATAGTTGCGTCAAAAAAGACAACTTCAAGACTTGTGAGTTTGAGAAAGAGGAGCATTCTAACCCATTTCAACTGCTACGCTTTGAAACCTGCATATGTAAGTCACTTAATTCTTTGTGCTGTCACCAAGTACAACTCTTACATTACAACAAGAGCAAGGTGGACTGAGCGGGGATAAATCGGTTTGAATATCAACTACAGGTAGAAAAAGTGTACATATGTAGTTTTTTTCACCTTGTATTCATGCATTCATCACATAATTATTGGATTCTGATTATCTGCCTACGATACAAGGCACTAGGAGTATAGTAGTGAAGAAAACAGTAGAACATCTCTGCCTTTGCAGAAGCGGTAATCTCTTTCAGTCCCATAATCAGTGTTGATGTTCACATATGTGCTTCCAGTATTAGCAGAAATTTGATGTAGGATATAAAGTTGCCACCCCCAAAGTTTACCAAAAAATTATACAGCTTCAGAATAGAAAGAGTCTTCAGAGACCATTATCTCCAACCTCCTATTTAAAGCAAAAATTTGTTTCAAGCATCCCCTAAGGTGCTTACCACTTTCCACCTATTCCTTCATCTCTCACTTTTTAAACAAAAATTAGATGGAGTCTCGCTCTGTCTCCTAGGCTGGAGTGTAGTGGCACGATCTCAGCTCACTGCCACCTCCACCTACCACATTCAAGCAATTCTCCTTTCTCAGCCTTCTGAGTAGCCAGAGCTACAGGCGCATGCCATCACACCCAGCTAATTTTTTGTATTTTTAGTAGAGACAGGGTTTCACCGTGTTAGCCAGGATGGTCTTGATTTCCTGACCTCGTGATCCTCATGCCTGCGCCTCCCAAAGTGCTGGGATTACAGGCGTGAGCCACCGTGCCTGGCCCACCTCTCCTTATCTAGCAGCGACTTTACTTAAAGAACATTTCCCAAATCTATCTGTCCACATCTGTTTTCTGACTAAGTCTAAAGGTCTCCTAGCTGGTCTCTCTGCTTCCATTCTTTTCCTCCTTCAAAATCCATTTTCTACACAGCTGACAGAGTGAACTTTTAAAAATGCAAATCAGAAAATGTCTTCTCTTCTTAAAACCCTCCGAAGGTTCTAAGGCTGCATTTAGATTAAAATTTTAACTTTCCACCCTCCCCATAAGCCCCTGACATGCTTAGGTCTCCACCCACCTCTCTGACCTCACATGCCTGCCATCCCAGGGCAGCACTCATTACTATCTGGGGCATAATTGCTTCACTGATTCCGTTGCTGCCCCCAACCACCACACACACACACACACACACACACACACAAACCCCCCACCCCAAAACACACACTAAAATCTTAGCTCCTTGGCAGCCATTGCTTTGTCTGATTTAGTTTATTTCTACTCTGCAAGACTTATTTAAAAAAAGTATTGCAGAGTAGGGCATTCCTAATTATTTGTTACATTTTTAAAAATCCGGCATTTTAATGCCTCTTTTAGTGACAAGAACTATCTACTTTATAAAGGTCCCCAAAGTATGTATTAAGAGTTTAGTTTTCTCATATATTGTGTAAAATGTTCTCTCCACTTACATGAAATAAACCCATTTCCTATTTATGTAAGCTCTTTAGATGTTAAATGGAGCTTCTATGCCTAACTACATTTTTTTTCCAAGTTAAACACTAACAGTTGCTTTAACCTTTTGACCTGTGCTGATTTTTAAATTATTCTCTCTCTTGTTTCCTTTTCTCTTGAAAACTACCAGTTTGCCTAGTTTCCCCTTAAAATGTAGGGATTGGTTTAGTTATACATCACAGCTATCTAGGGAAGACAAGATGAGTCAATTAACAGGAAACATTTGGCTGGTGAAAAAGAAACTTGATCCAATGTTGTAAAATGTCTATTGATCACTTACATGAAACTAGTTTAATGTCTGACCAATTAAACCTAATTGAAGTCTCTGCTCTGCCAAGCCAAGTACACCTTCCATCGGATTTTAAGCAATGAACTGATGTGCATATAGTGGAAGGAACTACAACCAATCCTCTGTTCGTAACTGCTCTGAATACAAGCTGGTGCTCAATAAATATGATATCAAAATAATTATAATAAAATTATGTGAGATCTAAGATGTGGTAATTAATGAAGAAGTATTTGAACTGTCAGTGGCATCTTGAGCCCTAAAGGAAAAAATAATAACCTGACAATATAAGTGAAATATGAGATCAACCAATTAATTAGCACAATAATTTAATCTGATGCTCTGAAAGTAGGCCAATTAAAATTCACTGTTACTATTTAACATTGATTAAGCAAGGTGCTAGATCCTGAACACAGTTTGAAAATAAACCTATTCCTACCCTCAGGGAACTTAAAGCTAATTTAAACAGCTGTATATGAAAGGACAAAGGAACAGGAGGTGTGGTGTTGATTTGATTTACTTACTGGGGCTTTTTCTGCTGGAGAAAGAGGAGCAGAGGGCTGTCATCACCACTGTACTCTTCCAACCTTCTCTTCTGCTCATTCACCAGCTCCATTCTCATCTAACCTCCATTGGAGATAGGAGAGGTAAAGTTAGGACAGAAGAAATGATTTAAAAAACAAAAATGAAACAAGCTTTCTAGAAAATGTGAAATCTTCTACACTTGTTCTAGTTAGTGGAAAAGAGGAGCCTAGATGTAATTAGTGCCTTTGATAATTCATTAGGAATAATTTATCAGCTACTAATGAAACAACAATAAATACAAAAACAACTGAAACCATCTTGCCTTCCAGCTTACTTAAGGGAATGCACGTACCCACTCAAATTTAATGATGATACAAGGATAAGCCACAAAGTAGCCCGTTAACTACTCATTTAACTTTAATGAATTCTGATCTCTGAAATAAGTAATAATAGTCTAAATGCATTTAGAATCTGCAAAATGTTCTTTAACTTGTCATAAGCCTCCTTTTTATGAAATACTTGAGTATTATGGTCTCCCCTCCAAGACCTCTGCTCACAGTGTTGGCTGAACAACATTTTGGTGTCACAACACTGTCCCTGAGAAGAGAATTCGCCATTCCTTCCATCTTACTAGAAGGAAAACAGGAGAGGAACCTCCCTTTTTTCTTCTTTTCAGAACTCCATGTACACAGTTTGGACACTGAATTGCCTTTCTAGCAGCTCCAGTAGATTGTGTTGAGGTATTTATCCTGTTCTCTTCTCCTTGGAAAGCATTTGCATTCATATGGAAGATGTTGGAGAAAACTAATTCTGGCTGTACACTAAACAAAGCTCTCTGTCTCAAAAGAGACTCACCCAACGCATAGGACTAACAACCAACACACTTTCATTAGAACATTTAGCAATGTAATAGGCCAAAATGGATACTAATTTGCCAAAATGTGCTGTAGGCTGCTCAAACACACTAAATTATTGTGCTTTGCACAAAAGAGCTATGGATTCTACTAAAGTTATTACCAACCCACAGAACAACATTTACCAACATCTATGTTCCACTTATGTGTTCATGACTCTGGGTTAAGAAGTATAAGTTTGCCTAAACCAATCGCACTGCCCATAGCTTGACTTGATTTCTTGATACGTATTTCCATGAAAACAGAATGGTAATACTAATGAAAGCTATGAGTAATTGAGCTCTTACTAAAGTTTACTAAAGCTAAGTGCTTTCCATGCATTATTTCATTAAATCCTCACAACTTATGAGGTAGACATTATACTGAATTCCCATTTTATAGAGATAAAGAAATTGAAACTTAAAAGTTAAATAACATAGTAATTATCAGAGAAAAATGCTTAAGCCCAAGCCTGCCTGGTATGTTCTCCTTGTTTTCCTTTCTTGGAACCTGTGTGATTTATTCTTCACTGGTAATAACGTGCTAGGGTATAAAGGCCATATCATTACTTGAACATACATGGTTTTGACAACATACATGTCATTGTTCTAACTACACATCAGTACACTTAGCCCTTATGTCCACTGACTTAATCTCTCCTTAAATCTTTTTATGCATTGTACATGCTGATAACAATTTTACAACAAATTTCTGGAACCTGAGGATGCTAGCATCTCCATGGTGATCACTCTTTCTCCACTGTGTCCATGGTCACATTTGCACTATGTTATAACATCTAGTTAATTGAGTTAACTTACATTATTTTCCTCATCAGCCTACTCTAAAATTAGTAATTTGAACCGCCGCCTATGCTCAGAAAGAAGAAATGGAGAAGAAAATGGAGGGTGTGTTTTTTTTTTTTTTTTTTTTGACAGTTGCTATGCATCACTTTCTTTGTCTTGAGACTTAAAAAAAAAAGTTAGAAATTATAGCAGATTGAGAACTTTGGGCCATATTCATTTTCCTCTGCAGAGTTTTCTACTCTTCCTTGAAATTTCTTGGGGTCTCCTATTTATTTAGTGTTGCAAAGTTTGGTTTAAAGTCTGGTTGCCCCAAAGTAACCTGTACAAAAGCATCCCTCTTGATTAGTTCCCCAATCCAGCCACCAAGGGCCACACAGCCATAGGGAAGTTTATATTTGCTTTTTGCCTGGAACTCATGATTTTAATATTTCTTCCCACCCAGAAGGGAAAGGCCTAGGGCACAAATAACATGGAACATCGAAGTAATTATATGCATGTTTTGGGGCTAGTGAGCTCATAGTGTACCTAGGTGACAGTGAGGAAGTGATTTTGCCTAACCTGACCCAGACCCCTTTCTCTAGAATGACCCTGGTTCCTTTGTCATTCTAACTGGGGGTGTTCTGAGGGCTGGAGAGATGACATGATTGATCAGAGTTATGCAAGTAGTTAACCACAAGGCTGAGATCAGATACCTGTTCTCCTAACTTCTGCCTCATCCACTTTCTTGGCCTTCTCATCATACTCTCTCTGAGCTAAATTCAAGAAATCCAGACTGTGAAAAATAATGAGTCTGATGCTATCTTTCCCTCAACTGAACCTAAGAGAAAAGTCCTCAATGATCAAACATACCGGGCACACTCTTACTACCATGTAGGTAGCCAGATAACCAGGGAGTGCTGCCAGGGCACAGGAAGGGTGAAGGTGAGTCATCATTCTGATTGACAAACAGACACTCCTCCTGGTCTGGTGAGTTTTCTAGACAAGAGTGAAGCAGAGGACCAAGGTAATTACTTCAATTATGCAAATCAATGACCCAGTTAGGAATTTCCTTTTGTACAGAGTCCCAGCATTCACAAGCCTGGTCAGCTACTCAAATGACCAAATTTTACCTGGTCTCATTAACATCTAATCCTTAAAATGCATTGTTCACTCAGCTAATGTAATAGCTTGGTCTCTGCAAATGGAATTCTTCCCAAATGTGTAAGTGGTTCTTAGCAGTTTAAAAAGTTTTAAAGGCACAGTAAGTACCTTTTACATAGGCTGTTGACTGTTAATAGTTCTACAATATGGAAGTCTGCAGAGAGGACCATTCAAATGCAGATGGCACAATGACTCACTGTCAACCTGACTCTCTTGGGGTCCTTCTGCAGGATTGCTGCCTCTTTGCCAACCCCACTGTGGTTTGGGGAAGCTGACATATATTTTCGATTCTTTGGTGAGGCATAAGGAAAGGGAGAATTCCAAGCCACATCTATATATCCAGAATAATGCATGAGGTTTAAATAATACTTGATTATTAACAAAAATTGAAGCTGGCCTTATACTTGCTCCTCAAAATGATAATTGGGTTCTGACTTTATTTTGCCTCCTCACTTGGTTTCTTGTAACATTCACTCACCTACCCCAATGGCTTCTTCTTTTCCTAAATGCAATTTCATGATGAAAAGATACTGTGAGGGTAGCTGATTGTCAGGGAAGACAGTTGCCTCTGCCTCTCTCTTCTTAGAGACATGTTAATAAAACACTATTGAACGTTTTCATTTCAAAGAGCCAGAGAGAAAGATGCATATGTAAGGAAATTGATATGTCAGATATGTAATATACAATTATTATACCATGTCTTAAATAAAATGTGTAGTTTAAATTTATATATATTATATGTATAATGCACATTTTATTTAAATACACAATACAGTTTTAGGAAAACCCAACAATATATTTTAGAAAATTGAATGTTCACTTTAAAAAAGCCTGTAATTTTTGTACCTATGTAATATTTCAGAAAGTTAATTTTCTCTACAGACTATGGTAATTTTAACAAGAATATCCTAATGTGACTCAGATGCTCACAAACAACTTCCATGTATTGAAAAATGCTTCTGAAATAGGATTTTAGGCAGTCATTTTCATAAATGAGATTATATTTTGTGCATGTAGTTCCATTTTTAATAATTTTTAAACATGAAATTAATGTAAACATTCCACTGAAATTTTTTTAAGGGCAAAGGCACTACTTCTCTTTATCTGATTGCTTCACTCCATAAAATCTTCTGAGGACTTCATCAAGGCATTGCATCTTCTGGCAGCCATGTTAATGTTACTCTGTTAATGTGTTTTATTAAGACAACAACACTGAGCATATAGATTTGCTATAGGCTGGAAGTTGCCATCTAGGAGCAACTAATTAACAGCAAGTCATATCCTGTATCTGAAACATCATAAATGCTGTTAAAGCATTATTTCTGAGTTTGTCTGTGAGGGTGTTTCTGGAAGAGACTGGCATTTGAATCAATGAACTGAGTAAGAAAGATCCACTCTTACCCAGCTTGGTAGGTACCATCCAATGAGCTGAGGACCCAGATAGAACAGAAAGGGAGAGGAAGATGAATGATCTCTTTCGCTTCTGGAACTAAGACACCCTTCTTCTCCTGTCTTTGGACACCAGAACTCCAGGTTCTATGGTCTTTGGACTCTGCGATTTATATGAGCAGTGCCCCCAGTTCTCATGCTTTCAGCCTCAGACTGAAGTTACACTGTCTTCTCTCCTGGTTCTCAGGCCTTTGGACTTGGACTGAGCCATCCTAGTGGCTTCCCTGGGTCTCCAGCTTGCAGATGGGCTGTGTGAGACTTCTCGGCCTCATAATCCTGTATGTTATTTCCCCTAATAACTAACTTCCTTCCTTCCTTCCCCCCTTTCTTATCTTTTCCTTCCTCCTTCCCTTCCTTCCTTCTCCCCTTCCTTCTTTTCTCCTTTCTTTTCTTCCCTTTCTTCCTGTCTTCCTTCCTCCTTTTCCCCCTTTCTTCTCTCCTTCCTACCTTTCTCCTTTATCCTTCTCTCCCTCCCTCCCTTCTTCTCTCTCCTTTCTTTTTTGTCTTTCTTTCTTTCTCTCTCTCTTTCATTTTCTTTCTTTTTCTATTGGTTCTGTTTCACTGGAGAACCTTGACTAATACATAGCCCTTGGAATGATTTTATGTTCTTCCTTTCTCAGCATGACATTTTACTTCTACCCACATGAAATTAGATGCTGCCCTCAAGAATCTGTCTATGTCTCCTTCTTTTCTTTTACTTTATGTTCTTCCTTAGTAATCTCAAGCTTACTCAAGGCTATTTACTATTATCTTATGTAGAGCTTTATCCTTCTCAATCTTCAGGGCCAAACTTTCTCTACATTCAACTTTTTTTTAATTTCCATGATAAGCATCTTCACGCATCCCAAACTAAGCATATCAGTTATTCCCGAAAAGTTTGCCTTTGTTCTATGCTCTTTTTTCAGGTTGCCATGGGAAGATTTTCTCAGACATTTAGACTTAAAACTTTTGAGTCATCCTTGACTTTCTCCCCCTTGGCCTGGCACATCTAATCATTTGGTGGTCTCTCAGCTAACTCCCTTTCTTTCACTCCCTTCTTATCGGCCCAACTTAAACGTTCATCCTCTTCTCACCTGGGTTGTTAAAATGGTCCCCTAGCCATCCTCTCTGCCTCCATTCCCACCAACATAGACTACACACTTAAATTGCAAAATGCCCATTTCTGACCACATCTCTCATTGACTTAGGTTGTTAAGGACACCCATAATCTAACAACTAAGGGTCACAACGCTCAGGTTATATTTGAAGCCTCTCCTACTTACCTTTCCAATATCAAATCAAACACTCACTTTTATTTACCCTTTACCCCATTAAGCAGACTCCTTTGCTGCTTCCCCCAGACATCTAGAATTTTGTTGTCTCTATCTGTTTTGATTAGAAAGCTCTTGTTCAGCACACTGAAACATGACCTCTCCTATAGGATCCAACCAGAAGTCAGCTGCCTTCACAGAGCCTCCCTGTGTGTTGTGCTTTTCCGGCTGTTATTTGTCTTGTTCCCTCCCCAACCTCATGTATTGAGGTGATTCTCTCCCTTCTGAATTTACACTTAATTTTTTTAATTAACCAACTTCTCTGTGTTTTTCCATTTATAATCCCATGGCATTTTACCCATAGCTCTTAAGGCAATTATGCACTTTGCATTGATTCTGGAGATGTTCCTCCATAAATATCTGGGGGATGAATGAGTGCAGCCTTTATAGATTTTTTTTCCTCTAACAAGTCTCATTTCACAGACTCTAAGTCAATTGAAAAAATATTATACGTGGAGTGAATTTATATATGCTTGCAACAAGTTATTTTAAAGGATAACTTGAAAGGGTGCTTATTTCTGGTGTGGGACTGCAATTCTTTATATAACTATAAAAAGAAAAATTAAATTGGTGATGGGATGGTTTTGGTGATATTCTCTTACAGAATATTTTAGTCAAAATTTTGTATAATAAGGCAGAGAATAAGCCCAAGACAATAGCAACGGCATCAATAATTTAATATGCACTATTCACTGAGAACCAGATATGTGCCCGAAACTGTTCCATATAATATGTACACATTATTTCTGTTCTTACATTTTACAGATTTGCAAATTGAGGCTTAAAGAGATTAACTTTAATTATCTACCTACTCAAGCTTAACATTTAAAATCCATGCTTAAGTCTTATTTTTCTGGGTTAGAAACTACTTACCATATTACTCCAGAACCTTCCTTTTCCCTTATAAATTCTGTTCCGTTTTTGGCCAACCCATGGTTTTCCTCTGCTGTAGTGTGAAGTCACTTTTTTCCAGATGTGATGGTGGTGGTTCCCAGGCATCTGAAAAGATAAAGATATCAGTGCATGAGCAGTCAGGGCTTTTTTTCACGTTGATTCACCTTAGGACACAGCCCAGCAAGGCCTGCACCTGAAAGTCATGTGCATTAGCAGAGCACTGCCTCAGCCACAAACCCCAGACACAGAGCTGTGCACCAACCATGACTGTCTCTTTCTGTTAATATTAATTGGCATAATTTAGTTTAACATATTACATCTTAGAAATACAATCATTGTCAAACAAAAATGTCTACATTGACCTGTTAGAATGGAAACTTCTACCACAACAGCCACTCTTGGAGCTTTGTAAGTTCACTGTTATGTTATATAAGCCTACTTGAGGGAGTTCCCTATGGGTAATGTAATGAGAATAAAGAATCCGGGGTTCAAATCTTGACTCTACTGCTTACGAGCTATGTGGCTTCTAGGTATCTGTTTCCCTGTTTTTGTAACAGGTGGACAGAGGGGTGAGGACGGAGATAACATTTATTTTTAACAAATGGTATGAGGATTGTAGAAAACATAAGGACCTGGTATAGATTAAATGCCTGGTAGTTACCACTGTTACTACTCACACAGGAAATTTCTATCCCTTAGCAGAAGAAAGGGTTCTGTATTAGTTTCCTGTGGCTTCCGTAACAAATCACAACAAACCTGGTGGCTTAAAACTCCACAGTTAGTTCTTACACAGTTTTGGAGGCCAGAAGTCGAAATCAACATGTTGGCAGGTTTGTGCCTCCTCTGGAGGCCCTAAGGGAAAATCCATTATTTTCCTATTCCACATTTGGTGGCTGCTGACTTGACTTATGCTCACATCACTGCAATCTCTGTGTCCAGGGTCACATTACTTCCTCCTCTTCTGTCTGTGTGCCCTTCCTCTGCCTTCCTCTTGTAAGGACACCACTCGTTTAGGACCCACTCATTTAAATCAGAATGATGTCCTCATCTCGACATCTTTAACTTACTTACATCTGCAATGACTTTAAAAAAAAAAAAATAGCGTTCACAGGTCCTGCGATTAGGATGTGAACATGTTTATGGGAATGTGAATAACTCAACCCACTACAGGTCCTGAAGGATTAAATAAGTTTTTTGTTGATTTTTGGGGGGCAGGTGAAAAACATGTGTGGTGTACAAAATGCTGAGTGGGGTAACACAGTGATGTTATTGACGGCCAGGGGGCAGCATATGAGGCCAAAACAGATTCTGAGAGTGGGAAGTAAGGCTGAGGAACCCAGAGAAACAACCTGGAACAGTAGGAGATGCAGGAGGCCTGGGTTTGGGGAGATCAGGGCTCTAGGTCTTGCCCCAATTCACAATGTAACAGAGGGCAAGATATCTCTATGGGCCTGTTTCCCCATATACAAAATGAGAAGATTGGACCGGAGCAGGGATTTTAAGTTGACTATTTGCAGGCTGAATGCAACGTGCCTAAGTATATCAATTGTATCATTTAAAAATCTGAATGTTTGTAAGTTGGCAGCCATCATATAAAAATTAGTGTAGCTTCTGTCGAAAATCAGATGTAACAGGCACTGGACATGCAGCCTCCAATGCTGATGATGTGTTGTAGGAGAGTGATCCTACGATTACCCTGGCACGAACAGCCTTGTTTATCACCTCGCCCACCACACCCCATTGTCTTCTGACACTATGGTTGATTGTCAGTGCCTTTTATCATTCCCTCACCCTGCAGATTCCCCGATGGTCAAGACATATTTGTCTGTATCCATGTTTCTATCAGTAGTGAGATTCAGGTGGATGATTTTTCCTGTACCTAGTTGGGTTCACTCACTTACATAGCCTGCATGAGGCCTCTAGAGTTTTGCCTTTGTGACACCAAGTCAGAAGACTAAGACCACTGCTTATCTCTGGGATGCCAATGACCTCAGTGCCAGAAGGGAGGGCGGTGGGGGGTGGTGACGCTGGAAACTAGCTCGATCTATGTCTGCAAATAACTCTCCATGTGCCCACCCAGGTACGTGAATCCACCATGTTCCCGGACCTTTGTTAGGACTACTTCACAATTCACAGGACAATGTTCTGGCAACCTTTATTGCTCCTTCCCTAATGTTTTCAGTCCTTAGACTTCTTTCCCTCATCTCTCTGTACACATCCATGCTCCTGCTACAGGACCTTTTATTGAGTCCCCATTCTGTGGTGTTTTTTCCTTTGGTAGCAACTTCTCATGTACTAATTGACAGCAGCTTCTCCTTCATCCTGGACTTTCCTGCCCTCTCCTGCATGATTCATGACTTAGTTCTGCAGAGCATTTTTAGAGCCTTGTTTGCAACGGAAGAGAACTAGGGAAACTAAGCAGCATATTGTCTTCAATCTGGTCCCTCTCATAAGGGGTCTGGCTAATTCTTACAGTTGTAATCCTGCAGTAATGGACCATCTGAGAAGACAGTCTCTCTCTCAGTGGGAGCTTCCTATGACTTAGGAAAGAGTCATGTGCCCAGGTGTTGCCAGGGCTGAGCTTGCCTGCCCACTCTTCAAAGAAGCTGCCCAACCCTGTCCCCTGATCTCAAGGTCTCATTGTTACTTGTGCTTTCCCAGAGCCCCTGTCTGACACAGAAGAGTGATCTCCCCACCTCATCTCATCTCCCCACCTTCCCAATAATTTTTAAACCTCTGGGTACTACCATTTTCCTGAAAAGCAGGGTTCTAATAATGACAGCTAAGTATGCCAAAAAAAAGAGAGGGGCAAGGTCTCTTCCAAGCAGAAGAAGCCCTGCTTTTATTTATTTCTGGTTTTTTTGTTTGTTTTTTGTTTGGTGTTTCTAAACTTCCCAACAGCTATCAAGCTAAGAAAGTTCTAAAAATATACAAAAACTACAAAAAGGCTTTCTCTCCTTTGAGTCTTTTACTCTGTGCAGTTCAAGTCAATAGACAACTAGCGGTATCTCCTTGGTGCCTTGGCTAGGCTTGTGTTCAGTTTTGAGGCAACAAAATGTGGAGATAATGCAAGCTTTATAGTAAGGGTACACATGATCCACAGGAAAACAAGCACAGCTTGAAAAGGCAGCGCAGAAGGAGCAGTTTGGTGTGCACAGAGGAAGGTGGACTGAGAGGCAGGAAAGGATGACTGAGGTAGAAAATGATATTCTTGCTGGTTCATTTTGAGGATGATGACAATCCCAAGGCTTCTGCAGACTCCAAGGACAGGAACTACTTCTTAAAGGCCCACATGGTTCACATTTCCTTGGAATTACATCCTGTTACACCTCCCATTTTTGTCTATTCTGAATGTGAATGGATGGTGCCACTGTTAGCCCAGTTGCCCAAGCTGGAGGTGCCGATTCCTCCTGACCCCCACTGGCTTCTTCTCTCCGTTGCCTTTTTTAGTCACTGGATCAGTCACTTCTGCTTTTTCAGTGTTGGCTTCATGCCCACTTCTCCCCTCCCTGCCCTTCCAAGCCAATTGCAGGGCTTTCCGAACTCATTTCAGCCTCTAGTCTCTTCCCTTCCCATCTCTCCTTTATTCTACCACAATTGCCAATTTGATCATGTTACTAATAGGCTTGAAATATTAAGAACAAATCTTCCAATGCTCCTATGAGACAAAATTCCCAATCCCTAGCTGGCACACACCCCTGATATTCTGGTCTCCTCTCTTCTCCTTTTTGATCTATACACTAAAAGTCCTGCACACTAGATTGCTCAGCTTCTTGCTGATGCCATGCTGTTTCCACATCTGCACCTTCACACACCCATGCCCTTACCTGGACTGCCCCTTCCTTCACTCCTGCACCTGCAAGTGCTGTTTGCCAGGAAAGCTCAACTTGTCCTGAAAGTACCAGCTTACTGTGACATCTTCCCTAAGTTCCTCTCTACTTGGCTCAATGCAAAGCACACCCCTCCCCTTCCCACATCACTCTCCATAGACCTCATAGACCTCTGTGGGCCCTTTATCACCTGGACTCTCATAATTTGCATGCAGGTCTGATCCTACTACCCACCAGGGAATTGAAGAAAGTGTCTAGATCTCATTTATTTTCTTCTCTGTAGCCCTTAGCAGAATATCTAGAGCACATTAGATTTTCATGAAATGCACTCATTCACTGAACAAATATTTCTAAATCATCTATTCTGTGTCAGGCAGTATTTAAGGCCCTAGAGATATACCAGTGAAACACTGTGGGGGATAATTATCTGTCCTTATGGAGCATGCATGGTGGTAGAGGAGCCAGAGAGTAAACAAGGTGAATGCTAGAAACATGCTATGTTACCCAGTGATGAGTGCCAAGGTGAAAACCCAAGCCCACCTGGAGGAGGAATCTAAAGAATTATGTGGGCCGGGCGCGGTGGCTCAAGCCTGTAATCCCAGCACTTTGGGAGGCCGAGGTGGGTGGATCACGAGGTCAAGAGATCGAGACCATCCTGGTCAACACGGTGAAACCCCGTCTCTACTAAAACTACAAAAAATTAGCTGGGCATGGTGGCACGTGCCTGTAATCCCAGCTACTTAGGAGGCTGAGGCAGGAGAATTGCCTGAACCCAGGAGGCAGAGGTTGCGGTGAGCCGAGATCGCGCCATTGCACTCCAGCCTGGGTAACAAGAGCGAAACTCCGTCTCAAAAAAAAAAAAAAAAGAATTATGTGTTGAGTAAAAGCCATTCCTTCTCCTGGGGAATTTTATAAAATTTCAGGACAAGGGAAAAGAGGGATACACTTGAGATGAATACATTTGAGAGAAGCAAGAGATCTAGAAAGTACTCATTAATGTTTGAAAAACCTGGTAATGGCCCTCCAGTGAGAGGGATTCAGAAGAACCTATGGTCTGTGAGCAGTAGAGTCTGAGCAAATGTTTATCTAAAATAAAGAAATGATTTTGCAAACTGCCTGCGATATCAAATTCCTGCAGCTTCTACCTGAATATTAGCATCTGATTTGTGCATTTCTTTCCCTCTCTGGGACTGAAGGCTTTTTTTTTTCTGTTTCTCTCTCACACGAATACCTGGGTTCTTCTAATTGCAGATGCCTCGCCCTGCCTCCTGCTCTCCCCAGTAATCTGTGGTCAAGGTGGAAAGGTGACTCAGGCAACCTGGTCACTGTCATGATTCCTTCTAGCAACACACACACACACAGTGAACCACACAACACACACATACACAGCACGCATTCACACACTTACACAAACTCACTCATGCAACACTCGCACAACACACACGTTCACTCACAACACTCACACACATATTCATTCACACGATACACACACTCATTCACTCACAAACTCACATAGCACACATGCTCATACAACACACACATTCACACACAATATTCACACTCACATAGTAGACACAATGCACACACACTTATTCACTCACATACCACACACAACACTCACACTCATTCACTCGAATAGCACATACACATTCACACATTCATACAACACACTCACTCACATAGCACACACAACATTCACACGCATTCACACAACACCTATATTCACTCACTCACACAACACTCATGTACACAGTGACTTTCACACACACTCTTATGCACATGCAACACACTCTCTTCCTTACACTCTCCTACACGCATGCTCACTTGTTCACACATGTACTCACACACACAGACACACCCTTCCACAAACACACTAAAATCCGAGCAGCAGAGGCTCCACTCTCCTTTCCTACTTGTCATTAGCTGGTGACGAGGGTCTGCTTAGGCTGCCACAGCACAGAGTCCGCAGCTGCCAAGTTTCTCCCCCCAGGCACTTTGGAATGTGGTAACTTAAGGCCTGACACTGGGCCAGGGGTCAATTTTAATGAAGCCACCTCCAGGCTGTTTCTGCTTGCATTGCCATCCAAGAACTCTAGGTTTCCCCATTCCAGTGCCTGTGGGGATGACTGCTAGGGGCTGAACTGTGTCCCCCTGCCTGCCCCCCAAAAAAGTCACACATGAAGTCCGAACCCTCTGCCACAGAGTGTTACTGTATTTGGAGGCAGGGGCTGTAAAGAGGTGATTATGGTAAAATGAAGTGATATGGATGGGCCCCAATCCAATACGGCTGGGGTCCTTACAAAAAGAAGAGATTCAGAAATAATAAACAACACATAGACCGTGGGCCAACCTGTGAGGATGCAGGAAGAGGGCAGCCCTCTGCAAGCCAGGGAGAGACCTCACCAGACACCAACACGTCTGGCACCTTGATCTTAGACTTCCAGCCTTCAGAATGGTGAGAAGATACATTTCTGTTGTTTCCCTACTTTGTTAGTGAGCTGAATACAGCTGACTAACACAGCGACATTGTCCTTTCTCATCTGCAGCCACCTGCCCTAATGCACTGACCTCCCCTTTCACAGTGGATGTGAGAGGCAGCCTGGACGCAGTCTCCTTCCCAGGAAAACCAATCTTGTATTTTAGAACTCCCACAACTTGTAATGTGCAGGGCAGCTCTCCAGCACGACCCCACGAGGGCTTTGGAGCAAGCCTCTGTTCTCTGACATAGGGCTGGCTCTATTCTCCTTGAATTGAACCCCCATTTCCAGATGCCCCTTCATGTCTTCACCATTGCCCAGCAGGGACGAAGCAGCCCTTGGAGAGGGCAAGAACGTGTTTGATCTGACCAAGTGGCCTTGCCTGGTATTACCTAGTGAAGCTCACTTCATTAGACATGTTATTGTCCAGTCATGGAAGAAGTTAAATTACTCCAAATCAGAAACTGAATTAATTAAAACAATTATTACTATCAACTGCAGGACCAAAACGGGATTGTTTAGATGCTGTTTCCCGCCCCCTCTAAGAGAAGAATCTTTTTTTCTTTCCATTTTTGAGACCCAATAAGTAGAAAAGTAGAAGCACACTTCTGAAAAGGGCTAGAATATGAAAAAGGAATGATAATTCATTATTCAGTAATCAACTCCAAATGCAAACGCAGCCGATTCTGCAGAGAACCCAGGGCTGTGGGGAAAGACAGACCCAGACCCTGCCCAGCTCGCACCCTCTGGGGCAAATCCTCTCCACAGAGACCTTATTAAGAGGAGAAAGATGGGGAATCAGCATGGGGTATCACAATTTGCAGCCTCTCTACCTTTGTACGAGCACATTAACATGCAGAGTCATTGTTTTATGGGCCTCCCACCCCTCCTCTCCAAACCCCACTCACAGATTAAGAAGCATCGTATAATCATCTGCCTTAAGGTTCCAGAACGAATCCCTCTCCACTGGGGCCTCTGAATAGAGAAGCAGATAAAGTCTCTGCAAGAGGACAGACCCGTGGAGCAGCTTCTATTTATCAGTCAGCCCTTGCTCTGTGCTTTCCTGGTAGGCAGAGTTCTAAGATGGACTGCGAGATTCCCACCTCCTGGGGCACACGCACCTTCTCCCAATTATCCAGGCAAATGCTAATCTACGTGCTGCCACGAAGGAATTTTGCAAATATAATAAACCTGTGAGATCAGTTGACCTTAAGGAGAATATCCTGGCTGAGGCTGACCTAACCAGGTGAGCCCTTAAATGAGAGTGGGTTCTTTCTGAAGTGTGAGAGGGATTTGACCCCAGGGATGTTCTCCATTGCTGGCTTTGAAGATAGAGGACCCATTGGATGAGGGATATGGGTGACTTCTAGGGGCTGACAGCAGCCCCCAGCTGGAGCTGACAAGGAAACAGAGGCCTTGGCTCTCCAACCACAAAGAACAGAATTCTGCCACAATCACATGAGCTAGGAAGAAGACCTTAAGCTCCAGATAAGAAAGTAGCCTGACCAACACCCCGATTTTAGCCTTGGTGACCGTGAACAAAGAATCCAGTCCTACTGTGCTTGGACTTTGGACCTAAAAAACTGAGCTAATAAATGGATTTATTTTAAGCCATTGAATCTATAGTTATTTGCTATGCAGCAATAGTAAACTAATATAGCTCTCAAAGATCCCTACAGAACTCTGCTGACAGAGCTGAAACATTTACATAATCTGCTCTGCAAAATGTTTCCAGGTGTGTGGTTACACTCTAACTCCCCCAGATTCCAAGCCCTTCAAAGGCAGGGACTATGGATACCTCACCTGTGAGAGCACTCACAGCTGGAGTGGTTAAGAGCACTCAGGTCAAACAATACCTACTCTAGCAGCTACCTTGTACAGATTCATTCCCTGAACTTCGGTTTTGCTATTTCTAACATAAGGCTAATGGCATCTACCTGTTGGGATTATTGTGAAGAGTAAATGAGAAAATCCATACAAAACATTTAGTACTATGCTGGTGTGAAGTAAATTTATGGCAATTATCATTATTTATTTGCAATCATAAACATGTAGTGAGGAACTACTTTGTGACTGGCTATGTGCTATGCTAGGTACTAGGGATATGATGAATGCCACCAAACCCTTGTCTTCAAGTATCTCACTATCAACCTGGCCTCTACAGTATCTCTGGGAGTGTTCTTTTTGAAGAAGCAGCTTCATATTTGGGGGGTGAATAGCACTAGGGCGTGGGCTGTGAGCAGATTCCGGCTGTGCCTAGATTTCCTAGGAGGTGCCATGGAAGAATTTAGGTGCTTTTTCCACAATCCCTTGCACATCCTGGAAAATCATGCGATAAGAACTAAGCCAGGATGAAGATGCATTCCCAATCTTGTTTGATAATATGAATTATGTAGAGACAGTAAAATCCAGAACTAGGACTCCACCCACGACAGACAGAGGAGTGCCTAGCATCTATTTCACATGCGCCTCACACTCTGATCCTGCCCAGTTATCCATTACTGTGTAACAAACTACCCAAAACTTAAAGGCTCAAACCAACAAACATTTTGTGGTCAGAAATTTGTACAGAACTTAACCGGACAATTCTTCTGTTCCACCAGTGGTGCTGACTGAGGTCCTTTGAGGTATTCAGCTGGCAGACAAGCTGGTCTGGAAGCATCCAAGAAGGCTTCACATTACATGTCTATCTCCATTTTGGGAATGCAACTCAAGGCTCTCAGACAGAGTATTCCAGGAGACAGGGTGGAGAAACTGCCCATTTCTCAAGGCCTGAGCCTCCAAGCTGGTTGAATACCACTTCCCAGTATTCCATAGAGCAAAGCAGTCTCGGAGCCTACCCAGCGCTAAGAGGAAGAGATACAGGCTCACCTCTCAATGAGAAGAATGTGACAAGCTTCTTTAGTCTGCCTAAGCAGAATTAGTAAACAATGTTTTGTGGCAGAGTATCAAATAGCTAAGGCCTCCAATCTGATCAGTTTCCGAGTGTTCAAGAACAGGGGTTAGCAATTTTTCTTCTGTAAAGGGCCAGATAGTAAACATGCTCGACTTTGTGAGCTACATAAAGTCTGTCACATGTTGTTTTATTTATAATCCTTTTAAAAATGTAGAAACCATTTTTAGCTTGTGGGCTATATAGAAATGGCCTGCAGGCTGGATGCAGCCCACGGGCTGCAGTTTGCCAGCTCATATTCTAGAATAATCTTCCATGACACACAGTCTGGCTGAATCGTAGTTTTGGTAGCAGCTTCTACCCATTATGTCCCCTGAGTAGCAATAATTCAGAGAAACAGCTGGAAAGGACCTCAGAAGTCACCTACTCGAATCCTAACGATGTGGAAACTGAGGTCCAGAGAGATTAAGAAACCTGATGGAAGTACCATGGCTGACCGTAGACCCTCAGAGATCTCCAGATCTTCTTTCTTCTAATCCAGTGTTATTTCCACTGTGACAGACCATATCTCAAAATGCTATGTTTCTAGTCAGCAGAAATCATAAGTATCTAGGAGTAAGGCAGACAGCTTAAAAGACAGACCTTGTAAGGTAACTTGAACAAAATTGTGCAGTGAAACATGCTCGGAACTTTGGACCTTGGAGGGTCTTTTCTCCTGGCTGGCTGTGGGGCAGGGTCTACCCTGGAGGCCGATATGGCAGTGCTGCTTGGCCTGGGTCTGGTCACTGGCTGGAAAACTGGAGTGCAGGCTGTCACTCCTACTGGGATGATCAGTGTGGGAAGAATGCAGAACACGGTGTGGGGAGGTGGCACACAGATCGGCTCAAGGTGGACGGGGCTGTCAATGCCTCCCGATGGAGAAGAGCAATCAGGGCAGAGGGCTGTAGAATCACTTGTCATCTCCTTAGTGGGAGGTGCTATTTATTGGGTGTCTCATTTTGCTGAGTTCCTCAAGAAGCCTCTTATTTACTAGCATTTGCTTGTATGCCCCATATTTTTTCATGTCTCCATGCCTTCGGATATGCACTCTCCTCTGTATGAGATACTCCCAGCCCTGCATGCCATCTCCTCTGAGAAGTTAAATGTCATCCCCTCTAAGGATTCTTCCCTGAGCTTCTCAGAAATATTAAGACACTTGTCCCTGGCTCTCACTTTGTCTTTATTGCATGTAAATAATGTAACTAATATGGCCCCAAACCACCTAGATGCTTGCCGAAAATAGTAACTGTATCTGTCATACATCTTTTCTTTTTAAGATGTTAACTAATTGTACTATAATTGTTTTTTTTAAATTTTTTAAATATATATATATATTATATATTTTATTGCATTTTAGGTTCTGGGGTACAAGTGAAGAACATGCAGGATTGTTGCATAGGTACATATATGGAAATGTGGTTTGCTGCCTCCATCCCCATCACCTATATCTGGCATTTCTCCCCATGTTATCCCTCCCCAACTTCCTACCCCCTGCTGTCCCTCCCCTAGTCCACCCCTACAGACCCCAGTGTGTGATGATCCCCTCCCTGTGTCCATGTGTTCTCATTGTT